GTGTGTGTGTGTGTGTGTGTGTGTGTGTGTGTGTGTGTGGGAGAAGAGAGGCCCTCACACGTAAGTCTGAGAGCGTCTCCTCATGTTTGCATGTAATCGTACTAGCGAGCATGGAACATACAGAGAACAGAGTAATGTGTGAAATTTCTCTTCTCATGAAGATGGCAGTGTCTTGTTTTATAATTTAAGAATATAATGGTCTGTTCATTGAAAGAGCTTTTCAGCACAGCAGCTTCTATATATATATGATATATGACAAAAAGGTTCTTCTATGGCATCGTGAAGCACCTTTATTTTTGTGTAGCGTGTAGTGGAGTGTTGTGGACAGTGTAGGCTCCAAGGCCAATTTAAAAGCTTTAAAAATATACTAAAATTATAGTTTAATGCTTATGCTCACCAAGGCTGCATTTATTTGATTTAAAATACTGTAAAACAGCAATATATATATTTTTTGTGTAGCGTGTAGTGGAGTGTTGTGGACAGTGTAGGCTCCAAGGCCAATTTAAAAGCTTTAAAAATATACTAAAATGATAGTTTAATGCTTATGCTCACCAAGGCTGCATTTATTTGATTTAAAATACTGTAAAACAGCAATATATATATAAAAAAAACAGCTTTGACATCACATGACTTATTAAATAAAACTGAAATCGAAAAATATTATTTAAAAAAACTTTTCTATTTCAATGTGTTTTAAAAAGTCATATGACTGCAAAGCTGAATTTTCAGCATCATTACTCCAGTCTTCAGTGTCAAATGATCCTTCAGAAATCATTCTAATATGCTGATTTGGTGCTCAAGAAAAAGATTTTCGCAATAAAATATCCAAAATCTACTTGCACAGTGTGATATATTTCATGCAGTTGTGCATTTATGTAATACCAAAAGCTCCCAGGGATTTGTAAATCCAGAGAAATTAAAAAGGTTCGTCTCTGGTCCGCTTGTAGAAACTATGGCAACACACTGACACAAATGCTGCTGTACAGGTAAACTAAACCCATTACGGCTGTCGCAAATAAAATGAAAATAAAATGAAAAATGTTGACCGCAGCATTAAATTTACATCTACTCAATTTTGCACCATGATTTTTACGCGTTTTTACAGTGTTGCGCATTATAACCAATCACACACGAGTCTGTTGAGCTTATGAATGCAATGGCCAATCAGAGGCGATTATCAATTTTGATATTTTTGTGGAAACTGCAATACATTTTTTAATCACTCTTTGACTGATGTGAAGTAGCAAGCAAATATACATCACTGAGTTCAAACAGAACAAAGTTGCTAGTCTGAGATGCATTTGAATATTTTATGATAAATCAAAGGGTTAATGCTTCATTTGTCAGCATACCACATTTGATGATTTCATAGGAACACATTTGAATCAAGTTAACTTTGAAATGACTTCTCATATACATTTGTGTTGATCACAGCAGTGCATGGTTAAACTATCACTGACCGCTGGCCATCAGAGCAGGTGCATGATCTGAAGCTGTCTCACAGCTCTTAGGTTAGCCATTTTTGGAAGTCCGTATCTACAAAAAAGCGACTTGCCTTTGTGATACTTTAGAAATAGCTTTACGTCTCCTCTTTTTCAGTCATTTTTTTTGCCTCCACCTCTCTCTCTCACTTCATCACCCCTTTTCCTGGCATTAAGTCCAGACCTGACACTGACACTGACTCTGTGTGTCATCCCTCTCTCTCTCTCTTTCCCTCTCTCCCTCATTGCTTCAAGGACCAGAGTGCCTGCAGATGCATTTCTCTGTAGCCCACTACCCCTCCCTCACCTCCTCTCTTTCGCCTTGTCTAACTCTCTCCATCTTTCTCTCGCTTTCCTCTCCTCCCATGCTCTCTCTCTCTCTCTCTCTCTCTCTCTCTCTTCAACACAGTCTAACATTAACAAAGCAAGAGAACAGAGAGAAGGAGAGAGGGATGAACAGAAAGTGATAGAGACACTGAGCAAGTGTGGACCACTTTTACAATTCATTCATCTACCAGGTGAGTCTCCTGCCTTCACTGCCGACACAGCGACTGAGACATTAACAGATTCAGGAAAAACTTATTGGAAAAACAAAATAGATTTGGGAAAATTACTGGTTAATTGTGGAAATGTTATGGAAGACTTGACCTTTGACATTTTCTGTTTTGTATAGGTTACAACAATATGTTGTGTTACACCACCAAAGGCAACATTTAAATAATTTAAATGTGCTTGTATTTGTCTTTGCTTGAGAGTCATACAAAGTCATATTTAATTAATTGAACTAGTTCATTTCAATTAGTGCAAAATCTTTTCACATTTTTACATGTCTACATACATGTCAGCATTATTTTATTATTTATTGATTGATTTACTATTATACTTTATAAATTCATTGTATATTTTATTATATACAGAAGTCAGCATGTATTGTATATAAAAGAAGCCTTTGTATATGGATTGTATCAATATTTAACTGTTCATTTCCTGGGCATATCTGAGCTCTCATAATGTTTATTATTATTACATATGTATTGTAATAATAATATATATTACATTTTATTTTTTGGAAATATTCACTAATAAATACAGCTGAAATGCAATTTTTTTCTTGCACCCTAATCTGTGTTGTCCGCCACATGTCACTTCTCTATATTTTGTTTCTCCTTCTGTTCTAGATCATTCTTTGCCTTTGAGGGCCATAGTTTACTCTCAAAACCAATGCGAATATTATTATACATGCACTTCTAGGTTATTTAAATGGCTAGATCTATAGTATTCATGACGACGGCCTCCTTTCCATGTTAGTAGTTTTACATCTAGAACTATCAGTGGAACCAGTGATATTTTTTTCTAACTCTTCAGCAGCATTTATTCATTTAGCTGAACACTACTCTATAAACTATGTGCAGGTGCTGGCTTTTTTGTGTGAATTAAATACACTTGCATTTTGGTTGGTGGCTTCATGCCTCCATTTTTGTACTGAGTTTTGTTGTGTAGTCAGTTTGTAGTCGAAAACGTGGATTGTGTGCCATTGTGTGCAGGGTATCTATAATTATCTCTTTGTTTTGTTGGAGTGTGTGTCTCTATGTTGTGTGTTTACTGTTAAGTGAAATTATTAATAATTTAATAAATTAAGTTAAATGATATTCTCTGTTAGAAAACGTCAACATGATCAGCTAATCAAAGCCATGGAAAAATGCAATACTAAATTGGTGACACAACATAGGCCTAAAGAATGAAATACAAGAGCCGTTTACTGCACATAAATACTGAATTTATTGTATTTGATTTTTCCAATGACCTTTTTTCACAGTTTTACCTCTTCAGTCCTTCATTCAGGGTTGGAGTGGTCTGGATGATAGAAGGAGAGGGTCAGTGTTTTCTCACAGGTGGCATTTGATGTATGACAATCTGACCATGCTGAACTTACAAAACGGCTCCAACTGGACTGGCCCAAACAACTGGTACCACCCAGCCGACACCATCACTCCTCAACACGGAACAGGTACGTGAGCGTTACTGAGTGATATCTTTATGTATTATTAGTAAAGCACCTCTGTGTGTGAATGTACGCTCTATGTGTGCTTGTGTTTGTGAAGTCAGCTTTGGGGTGAACCAGCAATTCTTATACTTGACTGAGCACAAACAGAGGGTGCCAACAGCTACACCATCAGCCACGCATGTACACCCACATACAAACACGGCAGTCTCTGGCCTTGACATCCTCTGTTTCATTACAGGAGGCGGAACTAAAGCAAGCAGACATTAGACACAGAATTAGATGCCCATAATACAGTTGTTGCTTATTCACACGTACGCAAATAAGGTCAAACTGTCAAACACAAGATGCTGCAGCGTGCTAGAATTACACAGTCTTCAAAGAGACAGTTCTGTCTATATAATAACACACACATTGGCACACTGAAACCCAGCACTCTTACAAGACTCTCTGAAGTTTAACGGGGAATTTTTCTCTCAGATGGTTGCGTGGACGATCTGAATGTGCAGATGGCCGGAGCAGGGGAAGGAGTGGTGCAGGGAGAGAGGGATGAGGTGGACGAGTCGTTGATACTCTAAATGAAATGAGATTAATCTTTTATCTTTATTTGCTCTTCTCTCCTGTAGTCTTTGCCCTCCCAGTCCACTCCAACTTACTCCTGCATGTTGCCTCCTTCTCCTTCTGCCCTCCCCCCTCTTTCCCGTAAATTTGACTCCTCATCTTACACCTCTCCCCGCCTCCCGCCCCCACCCACGGCCAGCGCAAACACAGGTGAGTGCCGTTTTGTAACATGCTCCACCCTCCCACCGCAAATGAATACTCTAATCCACAGGCCAAAACACTGCATGAGCAAATAGTGTGTGTGAATGTGGTTTAGCCCCTTTGTGGTTTCCTTCTGTGTTACAAATAAGTCATCAGAGGTGGCCACAAGTGAAGAACGCACTGGTAAGGCCTTGTGTTTCTTTCAGGATTCTTTCCCGGTGTTTCCGCAGCAGGGCAGACTGCAGTTCAAGGCGGCGATCAGGAGCTGGGACAAGGTCTGGGTCAGTACTGGACGCGACTGCAGTAAAAACACACCTTATCATTATCAGACAAAACCAGCAGAGCTTCAATCAGCAACTTTGAGCAAATTATTTAACAAAACGTGTGTCAGGAAACCCTACTTATTTAGATTATGTACACATCAGGGAAGCAGTCTATGTAAGCCATAATCCTGTGAAAAAAATGTGGACCTCACAAACCTGCACAGATGGAAGAGAAAAGGGACTCCAGCCTTTTTGATCTACAGTTATATAGGCCTACTCAGCACCATGCCAGACAATAGCACAAACTAGTCTGGTTAACATTCTCAGCTATTGGAGTTAAAACAGTGCACATTAAAAAAATTAGCTGAGGCCAACACCTTGCCTCATGTTGATGCAACGAAAAATGTTGTTTAGTTGATGTGCCACTTACAATCAATGTGATAAACTGCATGTGACCAAAAATGAGGATGTTTTAAAACTGCTTCTGTAGTTGCCGTTTAAAAGTTTGGGTTTGGTAAGATATTTTAATGTTTCTTATACTTAAAATACAGTAAATGCTGAAATATTTGTACAATTTAAAATAACCTGTATTATTATTTAAATATGTATTCAATATGTATAGTTTAAAGTATATTAATAAGATTTATTCCTGTGATGGCAACGCTGAATTTTCAGCATCACTATTCCAGTCTTCAGTGTCACATGATCCTTCAGAGATCATTCTAATATGATGATTTACTGCTCAATAAACATTTCTTATTATCAATATAAAGAACACTTTTGCTGCTTAATATTTTTGTTATAACCCTAACTGTGATAAAAAAAAATTCCCAGGATTCTTTGATAAACAGAAAGTTTAAAAAACAGCATTTATTTGAAATAAAAATATTCTGTAATGTTACGTCTACACTGTTACTTTTGATAAATTGAATGTGTCCTTGCCGAATAAAAGTATTATTATTATTTAAATCTTACTAACCCCAAACTTTCGAACGGTAATGTAGATTGATGGTGATATTGAAAATGATAGATTTTGAGAAGTCTGTTATGAGCCTATCAGTTACCAGCCCATCATAATATTGCACTGACGTGGAGAATCCAATGACAATCAAGCTAATACACAAGCTAAGCAGTGACAATCAATCAAGTGCACAAAGTATCAAAACTGAATATTAATTGCTGTAGCCAGTGACAATCAAAATACATTATTGCAAAAGGCTGCAAAGACAATCAAACATACTGACCATGTGTAATATACTGAAGTTAAGTTAATGATTTATTACTGTACATTGTTAAATGGACACTACTGTGATTTAATTATTGCTTTATTTCATCACTCTGTAATATTCATAGGTTTTTTCCTGTCAGATCCCATGAACTCACTGTAGATTTGTATGTTTGAATGTGTATGAATATGAAAGAGAGAGAGTGATAACGTTACTGTATTTATCTTTAGAATTGTGAACATTTTAGTGTAAACCCTTTTGTGGAATTACTAAACATTGAAATAAAAATATTACATTGAAAAGAACAACAGTCTGTGTTTTTTTTTTAGTATTCATCATGCAAAGTATTTGTATTAATTCTTGGTGCATATCCCAGAACACTCTTCTATTAATTTTTTTTATATATATTTCCCCTTTATCTTTTTCTCTAGAGTAACTGTGAATTGGTTCACTAGCGGCCGTTTGGGTTGTGTTTACTTATTACTGTCACTGAACAGTAGCATTTCCTGCCTGTGTGCTGGTGAATTTCCTGTTTTTGTTACTTACATCACCACACCCATTGAAAATAATGTTCTGACAAAGTTATTCTCACAGGGACTCAGACAGTACAGGAGTTATGAATAACTTTGATGTCATAAGATATTTTCATCTCACATTCCAGAACTACAAATATAGAAAATATTGCCACATGGTTATATATTTGTATATAATAACCAAAGATAGATTGAAATGAAACTTGGTTTAACAGAATTCTCTGTTGGTCCTTGGCACTTCTTATGGCACTCACAATGCCATTCCGGAAACTGGAACGGATACACTTAGAGGTCTGACTCTGCCCATATCTGAGATTTATCCTCCAAATTTCCGGTGCACTACTCTTGATGAGTTTAATTAAGGCCGATGTTAACGAGCTGTGGAGGGCAAAGCACGCAAATTTCTTCGTTTGAGCAGAGGTCACTATAATAGTTACGTCTCTTCTATTCCCATAAGGCCTCGAGTCCCCAATCAGAGCATGTTTATCTAGTCTGTGTGAACATGGGGTCTCCTCCCTCAAATTCATCGCTCCATCTCTACCCCTCCCTCTATCTGTTCATCTCTTGCCCTCTGCACACAGTCTTGGCCTGTGGTTCTCAAGTGGATAAACACATCCTCGGTTTCTCATGCAAACCTCCCTGGAACAGCTGAATGTGACAGATACAAATTCTGATTCATTTTACTATTGTTTAGATATTAACAGGACATTTCTGTTTGAGTACAAGTTAAGCTCAGATGACAGCATTTGTGGCATAATGTTGATTACCACAAAAAAAAAACAATACTACTGTTTAAAGCACTTACAAAGAAGGTGAAAGTCAATCTGTAAATGTAAAAATACTCACTGTTTCAAAAGTATAGCATCAAGACATAAAGAATAAGTTAAAACAATTTTATAGTGTGAAAAAGAGCTTGCTAACCATTTCTGTGCAAAATGATATCCGATTTTACAACATTGTCACCATGAAATGTAATGCTGTAAACCCTAAAACTAAAATTACTGTTAAAAATTATGATTTTAACAACATACATCTCAAATTTAACAGAAAAATTAAGATAAATAAAATTACATTTATAACATTATATAATAAATATAAAAATAGATATAAAGTGACAAGCTTCTCATTTCTGCTTTTAAATCCCCCCAAAATTGGCCCCATTTACTTCCATTGTAAGCGCCTCACCCTAATGTTGATTTTTTAAAAGACAACAAAGGTCAAAATGACTTTTGTGTTAATCAGCATTATACCATGCATGAATGCTGCTGATTCAGCTTAACTTGTATTGAATCCGGAATATTTCTCCAGCAACTCACCTCATTTGACAGATCTTTTTCTAATCCAAAATGATTAAAATATTGTGCATATAGCAGGTTGGCCTGATAAACAAAAGTAAATGTAGTCAGGTACAATTCTAGCACACAGTTTAGGTTACTGTTGTTGTTTTTTTACTATATAGCAACATAGAAAATACACAATAAGAACAATTCAGATACATTTAATTTTCCTTAATGAACACAACATATTTTTTTTCAGAGGGGTAGCCATTTTGAACTCTGCATCACATTTAGAGTCCACCAAACTCTCTCTCTGTGTGTGTGTGTGTGTGTTTGTGTGTGTGTGTATGTGCGTGTGTCTCTGAGAGTTCTTTGCTGGTTTCCTGTCACAGAGGAAGTGCCTCACCCAGCTGTGTTGCTCCCTATTGGCTCACGGTCAGGAGAACAGTGATTTCGGGCTGATAGGGTGGCCGAGCGAGGGATAGATAGAGGGAGTGCGGAGCGAAGAGAGGGACAAGCAGTCAGGACAGGTCAGAGGGCAGGCAGGAAGAAGAGAGTGCACAGCTAAATAAAGACAGTCAAGATGAAGAGAGCAAGAGATGGAGGGTGCAGACGTGAGAGCATATCATCTCTGCTAAAGAGGAAATAACTGAGGTAAGACATCAGAGCAGATGAAGCTTCAGAGAAGAAAAAGATAGTTGCACGGACAGATATGAATTTACAAGTATAATGAAAACGTTTGAGAGTTTGTCAATTTGGATAATGAAGAATGTTGCTGCTGAGAGGCTTTTGTGGTAACTACAGATTTTATTTTCATTTCTGTACTGATGTTTTCTGTAATTTCTTAATGATGAACAACATTGTGACCTTTTAAAATGGTGTAGACTTTCAACGGTACTAAACCCAGAATATTTGCAAACTGATATATTCCTTAATCTCTCATTACTTTCTCATGAATCTGAATGTCCTCTTTCTCTTTTTTGGTCTTGTCAGCTTGAATTGTTCTCAGCATACTTTTTTATTAATTTTTTGCTAATGACTGACCTTTTCTATCAGTGCTCATCCAAACTTTCTCAACAACTGATTTCATAACATGTTACTGTGTCTCTGTTTCTCTGTCTGACCGTCCATCTCTGTCTCTCCCAATCCTTGTACCAGTGTCTGATTTACAGATGACGCTGGACGGGGTTTGGGGGGGGCTGAGGGAGGACAAATGCTCCCCAACTTTCCTGTCATCAATGGCGACAGTAAAGTACCAGTCACCAAATAACTCTCTTTTCTCAGTGGCTGAGAAATATGTTGGTTTTTGTCTGAAAATAAACCCTATTTGGTGAAACACATAACTGAGTGCTTTTCTTTTACTTTTTCTTTTACTAAGATTGGTTTGTTTTTTGCATTTATTTTACTTTAGAGTGCATTCAATTCATCAAAATAGAAATTTGTCTTTAACACCAGCATACAAGACAGAGGGAAGTGAACAGTAAATAAACCCTATAGACAAAAGTAAACACTACAAATAGGCATATGTATATGTTACAAAATAGCAAAGTAGCATCAAAATTAGGAGTAAAATAGCTCTACTTAAAATTGTCGTGCTGAGGACAGTTATAGCCAATGGAACACATGATTTATTTTATGAAAGTTTGTTACTGTACCATTTGAACATACTGCAAGTTTGAACCCTGTCCACTGGGAAAATGGCTTCGTCCTATGCTACTCCTCAGTGACATGCGCAGTGCGTACAACTAAACTTGTCATTCCGTAGGACGCGGTAGAAACCGATAGGGAAGGTGAAGCTCTGTCGGTATCGACAGTGGAGTATCAATAACATCGATATGAATCACAGCTTCAGATCTGATTTGATTCGCCGTGAGATCTGACCTACATCTGAACTCTCCAATAACATCAGACACAAGTGACTCTTAACTCGTCTGAAGTTTGACACAGTTCGCGGCTTACTGTATCTGTTTTGATACAGTTTTCAATAATAGCGACTTTGTCGATGCGTTTGGTTGTGTTCAGTTTTAACACGTCGCGACTCAGCTGATTCCTTCGGACGTCGAGGTGACATTATTTACCAGGTATGAACTTTTGTAAGACAGGTATTTTCTGGTGATGTTTGATTACATCCAAGACAGTATGTTGTTATCCTGACAGTCATGTATGACTGTGAATATTTACTTGAATTCAGGTGTAAATGGTGGCATGATACAGTCAGAAAAAGAATATCACGAATTGTTCATATATGTCAAGAGTGTGGCAGAATTCATGTAAACAATCTTATAAACAAATGTTTCCCTTTTTGTATCTTAGTAATTAGTTTCAATCAGTCATTCATTTATGCGTTCAGTGCTACCAACTTGATATTTCACTGACACACAAACAACCCACATCTCTAACCACATCTGTGATGAACTTTATAGGTGTCTATTTTGTCTGTTAATAACTTTACTATGGGCTACTAACCAACCTAGTAGCCTATAGGAAAGTTACCTACAGGCAAACTAGACATCTACAGAGTTAGCTACTGATCTAGGGCTTAAGATTTTACATGTAGAAAGCCTTGGTGTACAACTGAAAACATACAACAAGGGTCGAGTCCCTACATGTGCTCAGTGTGTAAAAACAAAAGCAGGGAGCCACAGTCACCTGATGACACTGGGAGACTTCAAAATGTTTGACTTTCTATGCTTGTTTCACTTGACCGGTAAAATAAAAGGACATTGTTTTTCACTTGTCATTAACATATAAAATGTTATTCCAGCCTGGTCAGGAATGTGTCACTCTGACAGTTTTGCAATGAGGTAAATTCCTCTTCTGATCTCGAGTACGTATGAATGTATTGTGAGTGATAAACGTGCCACTACAGCAGAAGCTGGGTGATGATGTTTTCTCGCTTCTGCTGTGAAATCCACACTTGCATGTCTTAGCTGGAAACTGGTTAGAATTTTGTTTGTGTTTAAATATTTTTAGCCTTTTATGGTATTATGTGAACATGTACTAATAGTCTTTAGACCGCCTCTTATTTTACATTTTAGTGCAATTATGGGTATATTTAATAATTCAAGTAATCACATAATATAGTATTTCATTATTCCACACATAAAGTCCAAAGTAGCATAGTAGTTTAATATATTAAGTAAAGCTCATTTTCTACCATAATATGTGTGCCATAAAAACTGGCGGGGTCTAGTCTCATACAAGTAGGGTAAGGAGGGAAAGATGAACAGGTCAAGTAACAAACACATGAAAACATGTCAAGTGTTTTGAGTTGTGAAACTGCCTTGTTCTGCTAAAGATAAAAACCATTGCATACCCACAGTGGAATTTACAAGTTCTGATGAGTCGTAATAACCTGTAAAGTAGAGGAGTGAGTTATAAGCAAAATGCTCACAGTGAATGAGAAGAATTATTGGAATGATAAAATGCTTTACAAGAATTGTCATTGCTATTCTGATGACAGTTGTCTGATATTAGGCTTATATACCATACACACACACACACACACACACATAAATACACTGATATGTATGATGTACTAATATATATTACCATGAAGACACAAAGTCTTGTTTTCTTATGAATTAAACAAAATTAAGAACAAATATCTGCCAGTGGGCTATGAAAACTTGTTTTCCCTTTCAATTAAGTAGATTTTTCTGAGCCCATTGGCAGATATTTGTACTTTTTAAATTATAAACTCACTTCATTTTGGTCAGTTTCTTGGTCATTTTCCTTTCCCAGTGTATCTTGATTTAAGAATCTTTGAAGTGTTGCTAATACAGCTCATTTATGCTCCATAGACATTTACATTTAGAGAACATATTAAATAAAATATTGATAAATTCCAAGTTTAATCCAGTAATCAGACATCATATCTGCCAAATGGGGTGCTTTTGTCCATGATGTGTATATTTTGCGTTATTATGCAATCAAACAGAAAACTGTTATTACTTGTCTTCAGTGATACTTTTTTTAACGTTAATGCATTTCCACCTAAAGTTATCAAAAACCCTACGTAGAGGGCAGTATATATAGATAAATGTTGTTGTCATGTTTGAAATATTTATATAAATGACATAGATAAATATAATGCCTGAGGTAAACAGACTGGAACTTTCAGCTCTCGTTCTGTGTCTTTATGTTTGAGTGAGAAATAGCTCATAAGTATGTGTCTGTAGTTGTACTTTCACTTCCTTCATGTACCCACTATGAATTGAAGTACTGTTGAGGTAACTCACTTCTCTTTCGATTGGATGGATTACTGGTTGTATTTTAATGCACAATTCTTCACTGAACATTACACATACAAAGTGTACATTGACCTCCAATTAATCGTTTGTGTTGACAGACAGACGAGGCTCTGGTTTAGGTTTTTACTTGTGGAAAGAACATTGGAATTCTTGAGTGGTGTTTTGTATTGTTGCATAATATGAAAGTGCTCACATTTTAAAGAGTTTTAGTTCTCTCTCTGTCTCAGTGATGGCAGACGTAGTGGACAGGCCTGCTTCCCCCTCACCCTCCATCTCCCTCCTGGAGATCAAAGCAGAGGCGCGGTTGGTGCTGAAGTCTTTTCTGCGTCACTCTCTCTCGATTCCTCCTGGGGAGCGCCCTGGAAGGATAGGAGGAGAATACAAGGACCCAAACAAATACAGGTGACACAAATCATTCAAACTGATACAGAATTAAACACTGTAATGGCACAAAATAAAACAACTCACTTTGTAAGTATGACTGAACGTCACAGACATAAACAAGACAATTATATATGTAGGGTTTTTCAGCTCTATAAAGCTAAATATTTATGACTAATTATAACTGGTTATGATTAATAATAAGTATTTAGATTATATCTTCGAATTAACTGTAGCAGACAATATAATCATTTATCAATTCAAGGAACGATTATTTTCCTGGCCAAGGAAGAATAAACTGTCCTTCTTTATGCAGTGCTAGCAGTAATTTAGCAAAATGTAGCAAGGGTTCACACATTCATTGACTTCGAATTGTGAGCAGCAAACAGAGACAATCAGTTGTGAATATAAGGGATTTAATAACTGAAACTATATCTAACATATAACTAAGCAAAACACATATATACAGTGGGTACGGAAAGTATTCAGACCCCCTTACATTTTTCACTCTTTGTTATATTGCAGCCATTTGCTAAAATCATTTAAGTTAATTTAATCACCTTAAAAAGGGGCTGAAACTTAAACACGCATCTAAATAATTGTAAGTGGTTACTTGCATTGGTTTCGATTGCTGAAGAAGAATCCTGACGCGGTAGACACCGGAGGTCTTTTGATGAGTTCGTGAGGAGTCAGCTGGAAGTTTTTACTTTTGGTTCTTCTGACGAAGGAAAAGTCCACAGCGACTAAAATTACTTGAAGATAAAAACTGCCGGAAAATAAAAACTCTTAAGATCTTGAAAGTCTTCGAAAAGTGTTGTCTCAAACGAAGAGGGTTTTTGAGCCAAGATTATTTCGGGCTAATCTCTTTTGATGGTTCCTATTCTGGGTGGACTGGCCAATACCAGGCGTGAATTTTTGAGC